AGAATTTCAGATGGAATTTTTGCTGCAAAACCAAGTTTCTTAAAGATTTTTTTTTAAAAAAAGAGAAAGGTTGGTTTGCCTAGAGACAGAATTTCATCTTCAATGAGCCTAACAGTGGCTGATGTACAACACGCATTTCGGAAAGATGTCAACATCTTTTATACATCTCCATAGACACAAACATAATTGAAAAACCCCCAAACAAACATCAGTGCCTGCACAGAGCCTTCAGTCAGACCCCGCATTATATCACGGTCTCTCTTTGATACTAATTTCTGCATTAGGGCCCAAATCTGTGCCTTGCTACAGACATACTGAGTTTCAGAGGTTGAAAGATGAAGTCAGAAAAAGATGTTCTGCTTGTTTAACGAGTCTTTATTTCCAGATATCCCTATTTATACTATATAGTGAAGGTGCATCGTAGCCTTTTCAATAGTAAATTAACACTGGGAATACATGCTCAGCCTCACTACTGGCTGGACCTGGAGAGATGGAGCTGCAACAGCCTCACCTCCACCAGGCTCCCAGATTCGGCAGCTGAGCACAAGGGGCAAGGCTAACTCACAATCCAACCTCTGGCTGCTATTTCCCTTAAATGCTAAAAAAAAGACTGAATTTAGACAAAAAGTACTGTGCTATGCTCACAGTAAAAAGCTTGTAAGAGTAATTTGAAAGGATGAAAGCTTGATTCGAGCATTAAAGGTGTCTTATAAAATCACAGTAACATTTTAAATTAAATGTTTTATACCTATGAATTTTCATGTCATATTTCTACTATTAATATACCTGAATTTGTTACACTGTGTTTCAGACAGAAAAGAGATTCTGTAGAGAAAAGAATGCAGTGTGAGTTGAGCAACAATGCCACAGTAATACCTAGGACCAAACTGTCCACCATTTACAGATAGTTTGTTGGTTTTAACCAACAGGGTGGATGAGAAAAAAGTATCTGGCATACTCTGCAACTAATTTCATTAGTAGAAAATCAGATAAATAATAGCTACTTAATATAAGCACCCAAGAACTACTACTATGAGGACACCAAAATTATGAGCCAGAAACTGTGGGTGAGGAGTTGAGATTAAGTACAACATTTTCTTCAGGTGTCAGTGCCTTCCTGTTATACCACCAGAATGTTTTGAGATTACTTGTCTAACTCCTGTAAACCTTAGAAACAAGATAATTCAGCTGTTAATGCTACACAATCACTGATGAAATCATATTTCCTATACATCCCTCACCTACAAACTTCTCTTAATTGTTGCATTTGGCCCTCTCTGCAGTAACACAACGGAGTCTCCTTCCTTCTCTAAACACATGTGCAGCCCCTCACATAGCATTTAAGGGAAAACTATTTTTCTACTTATCCTGTAATCACATGGCCATACTACATAAAAAAAATCCAAGTGATTACACACCAAATAACCGAGACATACATTTGCAGAATCTATCATCTAAATGACCAAAAAAACCCAACCCCAAACTAAACCAAAACACTGGCCAGTTTTAGTGCATTTAGTCATTACATTTTGAAAACAGAAATACACTGACAGGGCAAGACGATGAGAAAGGAAGATGCATTTGAAGAAGTAACAACAGCTACACGTTCCTGGCCGGAAAGATGATCTAGACAATATATATGTGTGTTCAACCTACATTTGACTATGATTTTTAAATGCAACTACGTTGTTCACGCCAAAGACGACGGTCTGCTCAGTATTATCTGTCTAGAACAGTGTACTTTCTACCACAGGCAAAGCTGGTGAAGTGGCTGAGACCACCCTTGCTTTAAGTAGGAGCCAGCAAGGACCAGTGAGTGCACCCAGGGTTAATCCATGCTGCCATCTTGTGGTTACCCACATGAGAAACACGGATTTTTACACTGCCTGCATTTTAAACACTTTCATATAAAATCGTGAAACAGCAGTAATGTTCTCTGAATAGCTAATGGCAAAGGCAGAAGGTGCTCCTTCTTCTCTGGGAAATTACTGTTCTCTTTTCAGAAATAATAAACCAAGTTGACAGTTTCGTCTTCAGATTTTCAGAGTGGTATGAGCATAAAACTGAAAGGGTGCAGTGTATGTTTATTCTTTCATGTATAGGCTGACACAGCTACAAACAAATGTAATATATGCATGATCTATAACATGTATGTGTATCTTTTATAAACCTTCATAAAGGCATAGAGAACAGAATCTGTAACTATATTTTTATGAATTTTGACAAATTCATAAGCAGAAGATGAGAACATGAGCATTGGTTGCTATAGTTCACTTATTTATTAAATGGGGTTGAGATAAAAGCAAGAATGAGCTGTCTTCTCACCAAAGATCTAATTCGGCCTAATTAGGCTTCTCATCAAAGAGCTAGTTAGGCTACTTCCTAGACAAGCCTGTACACTGCTGATTTAAAACTTCCTTTCCCTGCCACATCCACTGCAGGTCTGCCATCACCTACCCTATATTTTACCCCTCAGCTGTTTTTCGCTATGTTTGTAAGTAATGTTTATAAGAGTTAATTTTTAAGTGGGGAGTTAACATAGAATATGGAAGATAAAGACAAAATTTTGGGAGCACAAGCCTTTCCTCACCTTCAAAATAGAGGAAGCAATTTCCAAAGCTAAATACAAGTTGATAAAAAAACTGAGATTTAACATCATTGCAAAAACTCGTTGGAGAATTTGAGAGAAAATACAACTGGTATTTAGAGAGCAGGAGAAGGGGGTTTTCCTTTTTTGGGACAGAGAGAGAGATGGTTGATTTGTTGCCTGTGGAGCACGGAGTAGCTGAAGATGGGGCAATGATAATGTGCCATACAACCAGTGTCTAACTTGAGTCTGTAAGTTCTAATGTCAAGGAGAAATAAGAATTTTAGTTCCCAGCCCTGCCTTTTGACAGCATTCTGTAGGACACCTTGCGGGTTGTTTCCGAAAAACACGATACTAGTAATGGGAAGTTATAGTAAATGTGCAAGTTCAGCCTGGTTCATACCAATTTTTAGTCTCTCAGACAGTTTCCTACAACCTTTCTGTAGGCCAAACCACACCAAGAGGAACCAGACTGGGCACAAGGCACAGCTTTAAAATTTGACAACAGCTCTCCACCAGGATTCTATACAAAGTCGAGTCTAGTCAGGTCCTGGTTAACAACAAGGGCTTCTGAGGAAAATTATTGACAAGCCCAATCAGTTTGAAGATAACTTCTGGAAAGTTCTGCCCCTCACAACCAAACCATGCACATTCAAGTGTGGATAAACAAAACCCATGTAAGCTTGCCTGATTGGGGTGTATACCCAAAAGAAGGTGAGCACCTAGCTCCATAGAATTGGCTAATTTTTTAACTTTACTGCTCCTTTCTTTATTCTTTCTTCCCCACTACACCTGAAATTCTTTGGCTCTTTTCTCAAGAGTTACTGTTTGCCTTGGCCATGCCACTGAAGCACTCCCTACCCTTAAGAAAACCTAGAGTAGAGTTTGTGTGACCTTTCAAACTCTGCCTTGTTACCCCAGTCAAAACCCCAGCCTAACAAACACTTACTTAAAACATTTAAAAAGAAAGGTTTGGGGCAGAACCTAGTTTTACTGTGTGCACAGTGCAGAAAGTATCAATAACCTAGGTTTTGTTAGGGAACTTGCCTCTTGGAAAGCTGGCCTAGCTCATGATTTGGCAAGCATCTAAAAGTTGCGGGGGAAAATGAGCGTATTTTTCATTTAAAAATTTAACTATATTTTACCAGGGGTGATTTAAAACACAAATCTGGTGAGCTAAATTTACAACAGCCAAAACAGGAGCGGCAGAACACTGCAAAAACATCTCTTGTTCTGCAAATACTGAGAACGCACGTGGAATACAGCTACCCCAAAGCATGGACTTAATGGCTCCTACCCCAGGAACCCCCCTAGCCGCAAGAAAGGGGCCCTGGCTCCCCGGCGGGGGCGGGGAGGGGGTCGGGCTAGGCGGCGCC